TTTGCATGTCTGTATCAACGCAACTCATGGTTTATAATTCATTCAATAACGCTGTGACACACAGAACGACAGCGCAGTTACGAATATGTTTGTCATTGCGGCGAGGATATAGGCTGCTGTCTCGCTCATGATCGTACGGGAAGTATGCCGCTGTTTCGAACGAATGAGCTGCGGCTGCTTTCTGAAACCTCGCATTTATGATAACATTGTTAAAAGAAATACCTGAAACTATTTTTATCTGTCGCATCTCGCAAGAAGATAGCTTTTCTTCTTTGTGGAAACTATTTTCTTGCCCATTTTTCATTGAACCGAACATCATTAAAGGGCAGGCAGATGGTGAAGAATAATTCTGTTTGCTCGCCATTGTTTTATGCTTCACATGAACTTTCCTCCACTACTGCGATATCATTTTAAATCGAAATTATTTATGATGCATAAATAGTCAATATAAGCATCACGCTACATGAATTCGCTGTAGTTTAGTTAAGAGCGGTCAAATAATCGAGATGGTAGTTGGCCTCTTTAAAGCTCCGACCAGACCTTAAAACTCAATAATAACTCCATTCGATGTAGTGGCTCTAGTTCTGAGACGTGTATGCTATCTATAGTTTTATCGTTGTAACTTATGTCGAGACAAACATTCGGCATGTCTAAACTATCTAGGTTTAGTGTTGTCAAACTACCATGCACGACATTGGACAGTGGCTCGCAACCTGACATCTTTCTCGTTCAGTTTTTTTCATGTGAGTAGCGTAATTTTATGATGATGGTAATAGCCAATCATGTTTGCCTAAAACAATTACCGCACGTTTTTCAACTCTCCGTCATTATAGTAAACTCATCAGGCTTTGAACATCTAAAGTTTCCTCACTAGCTAATGTTATTTAATCATTCAAGGTTTATTAAAGCTCTACCCACTAGTAAGCCACGTTGGAAATTACAAAGGGTCTTGCTGGTCTTTCAACGCAGTGTGTTCAATGAACCAGCTATATCCTCTGATTCTCATTGTACAGGGTACGCTCATTGGAAATCTTCGATTAACTCGTTTCATGAATTTATATGAAGACTTCCTTCCTCTTCAGAATTTTATTTGTAGAGGCTTGTATTCTTTGCAAAATAGATAGTCGGGCACTGCAGTCTCGTAGTATTGGCAGTAGCGGCGAAGAAGGTCGTGTGCATTTCATGGCTGTCGTTGCGCTTACTCACCGCTCCCTCGATCTGCTATAATGGCAGCGCCGGTCGTCTTTGAGCTCAGCTCTATTGTTCCTTGCCGCAAACAGTCTATCTCTGCAAAGCAAGGTGGACTTGTTCGTGTGCATCTCATTATAATATTGCTGGCATATTCTGATACATGCGTATACATTTGCATTCTGTGTATATTTTCATTGTGTTGGTGTATAGTAACATCTTGCGTGTGTACATACTGCGTAACTGGTTTTCATAATGAATATAAATCGTTCAATTGCTTGGGCGGTTCGTAATCGATAATTATTCATGGTGAAATTGGAATAAATAAAATTTTCTATTGTTGAATCTTTCAGGAGTTGCATTCATCGAACAACTCAAAATTCGCCAGGGTTTGGCATATATTCACAAATCACAAATGTTCAAGTTATCCCAGCAAAGTACTCATACGTCTATCATTAATATATTCACAAGCCTTATATGGTTTGCCGGGATACAAGCTCATTAGGTTCTAGCATAGCATTAGGACGAAATATGCTTGTGTATAGGGCACGTGTGAAGCATGTCCTGAGATGGGACTGCGACCTTGCTTAATTTGCTGCACCATTAAACTTGCTTTATTGCCTAGCTCTGCATTTAGGACGTAAACGAGCCGTAGCATAAATTATGTTTATCACTTTTTACAAAGTCGCCCGTGTTGAATTATTTGCCTGTAGTTGCTTACGTTGCTGCCGACATCGTCACCAAAGCGTCTTTTGGATTTCCTTACGTATTCCTCCCGTAGAGCAACTTTCCCGACCGACCTCACGCTGTCTAACGCTGGACTCAGAATTTCTATTAGTCCGGGCTTAATTATCACTAAAATAAATATTTAGTGAATTTAGTAATTTGAATAACGGGACTAAACAAATTTGGCAAGGCTAATTTTCTTTATTTGCCTCTGACTATAAATTTCATTTGGCCATAACTGTTAATATGCAGGCGATTTGAACTGCTTATAATATGTAAGGTTGGTTTTCAATCGCGCCAGTAATACTTCAAACAGGCTTGGAAAGAATACATTAATCGAAGAAAAATTGAAATATATCACGACTGAACTTATTTACTTCAAATTGGAGTGGAAGCATTACCTCCGAATTTAATTTTCAAAGCAAAATGAGTTCAGTCTTATTTTGAGTCGAGTGCAAGCAAGAATGACAGCATTGAAGAAAAATAATGGCTGTGGCCTTCTCATTACGCGTCACGATAGCTGGGGCGGGGTTTTCTCCTCTAAACATTTATTTCGTGGGGTAATTATTTTCAACTTTCCCGATCGAAAGTGTTCTATTTCCATAATGTTTTTATAAACTTGACATCTTCTATTTTAATCTTTGCATATATTTGTGTTTTTACGTTTGTGAATGTTGGCGCATTTTATTGTATCAACGAAACTCTGATTTAATGATGGATGGGAAATTATCTCTGAAATTATCTTATGCGAGTTCAAGTTTTCGGCTTGAATAAATTTGCTTGTAAACCTGGTGCTTAATTTGTAACTAGACTACGAGTTTGGCTATGTTTATCGCGGCACAGAAGCGCCTCTCCATAGTTGTCGAGGCGCTCCGTGTAGCGGCGCTCAGTCTCACCGCTTGCATAAACAGCAACCGTATCGCCAAAACTCCCCGGAAATGACTCATCATGTTCAAGTATCTTGTTCGCTCCGAGATAATACGGCCTTTTTGCTTTATAAAAAGAAATCTTTACTGGTGTCAAGTGTCGTTATTTTTCTGTCGCGTGTACTAGTCTCTGCTGCACTGAAAATCTTCACGGTTATATAGCATGACGTTTGCGTGTTGTCAACGCAGGCAGCGGCTCAACATCTGCGGGTTGTAAGAATTGTTTACAACTTCTCCACCCTCACCGAGGACAATGCTCTTCTTGGCTCCCGATCTTTTACTGTGTACTCTGATATGTCAAACAATTATGCCTAGACAGCTAATAGAGCCATGTTCTTGATGTGCGTTAGCTCTGACATTGAGTTAGCTACTACTGAAGTATTTTATTAGGACTCGAATCCTAAACCAATTAGATATTTCAAAATCGTTTAATAGCTAATGAGAGCATTGTTCACGGAGTGTTGACTGTTAACGCATTACATACTGTGTCAGAGTTTCAAATACTTAATATTTGCAAGATTCTGATAAAGAAGTGCACAATTTAGGAGGAAAAACTTTCTAGTTAAATATCTGTTTTAGAACCAATCAGTAGTATGAAGTTACTATCAATTTGATCTTATTTAAAATAAAAAATAAAATTCGCCGATAATTTGTTTCACGATTCTGTGACCTACGGTATTTATTTAGAGTGCAGAGGTGATTCAAAATTTGTCATATTGTTGATATGCGGCGAGCTACGAAGCAATGCACTAACGCCATGCGTTGGTTACCCACAAACGACGGGCGGCGTTAGTGTACGTGTGTTGGTGAGCTGAGATGCGTAATTCTGTGAGCGATGCTGTGTCTTGGCAGCCAACTGCCTCTTTTTGCTGAGATGACCGTGCTAGCCCAGGGCACTGCATGCCACTGTGCCCGCTGCCTGATGCCTTGCCTTGCCCCTGTATCATGTCTTCCCTCTGTATCATTCCCTGCATGACCAGTTGCATGATGCCTCGCAGCGCCCACTGCATGATATCTTACCCTATCAGTAGTGCCGACTGTATTTTTACTTAATTAAATGTATCATATTAGTCGACGCTTACTGTATTTTGCACAACTATCATTCCCTGCAATGCAGACGATATTTTTAATTTAATTTTTCATCCTGCCTTGCCGAAAGGATTCGCACATTTCCATTTTCAGTATGCAACAAGTTTGCAATATTGTTCCGTGCAAGATTGATGATTCTAAGTGGCTTTTCATGCACCCATTACTCTTCAGTTCTGCTAACAATTGAATTGCTAAATTTGATGATTATTTTTGTTCTTCATATTCTGCCTAATTTTTTTATCTTTAATTCCTACTGTTTACAATGTTTGTGTATCGCCTGGATTTTTTGTTTGTTTTTAGTTATAATTAGGCGATGCATTATAATTGTTACATCAAGTGTAGCTATAACGTCTCACCGAAGAAAAAGGATGTTATTTATCGCGAGCGATCTTAATATGACAAGCTGGGAGTGTCCGCGCTCGCGTTGCATGTGTACGTTGCAGGGGAACTGCCCAGCGTCGAGGGACGCGTTCGTGATCGATGCTTTGTATAGCTGGGCTCTCTGTTTGTTCAGTGTTCGCTTTGGTCGGAGTTGGACGCCTCAAAAAAGCCCGTGTGACGTCAGCACGTCACCTTGATACACTCAAAATACTCCCATGCTAGCCGCTGCTGCTTTTCACCCTTCTTTCTGACTATTTCTTGTAGAGCCACACCAAATTTAGACTCCTGCTAACTTATTATAGCGTTAATCTCCTATCCTCGAGCTGTGCATCGCAACGTACAGTTTCTGGTCTCACAGTTGTACCTCATTCTTTTGTGGGACCCTGAACTATCTGCGCATATTCTCCCTTTGTTCTTTGATTGTTGTCGCCAGAACACAGGCGCTAATGATCTGTTGACGAACTTGAACTGCCTCGCTGAAAGATATTCTTGACTCGTGCTAATCATCACCTCCTGTCACCTCCTGTTCTAGCTCTTACCTTGCCTTCACTCTATTTTAATTCTTTTCAGTAATGCGGTTTCTGAAAATTGTGCTTAAAATTGCACTTTACAATGGGCATCGTATGATAGTGGGCGGCTTTTATTTTAGGTATAAAAGTATTACATCCCCTGTTAATTAACACGGTCTATTTTGTATCCAGGCAAGAAATAAAATTCTGTCACCACTCTCACCAGAATTACTCATAAAACTCATAAACGTCTGAAAACGCCATTGAAAATTGATTATGAGAACGTAAATAATGGTGCTCAGCAAATTTGTAATATTTTTCTGTATTATAACTTATGATTATCAAGTATTATAGCTTTATTATTAATCAGTCTAAGAACTTTTACCCGAATGCGGAAAGTCAGCATTTCATGGAGGCCGAATAGCTATGTCAATCTTCGGTGTAGTGACAGGAATTAAAACTCGTGCCTGATTAAATTCGATAAACACCTACCAGTGCCTCTAGAGTCACAAGAATTGCAGAAATATCACGCGCCGGTTGTAGTAAGAGTCACTGGGCGCACTAATGAGGACTTACGATACCCTGAAGTGTTTTTTAGTTTGGAGTTCTCTTTTGAACTTGCTGCATCGTGTGAAGCATGTTAAGACAACGAGGCGCTGATGGCGTGGCCAGTTCGTCTGCTGCCTGCATAGATGATCGACCTCGGAAGAAGCTTTCCTTCAGAGACCCCGAAGTTGAAGGACGCACCTTCAATGGCATGCCCCTGTCAGCCCCTCCCGATGGCTCCTCCAACAAGGGACGTTACATCCTCAACAGACCGCACTCCATCGCAGGCGTGCTCGGTCTCACCGGATTCTCAAGCTCTGCAGGCGCCGAGCTTAAACACCCCGCATCATCGCCGGTGTCCCCACACAGTTATGTACCATCGTCTCCTCTACCTCAGTTGAAGAAGTTTATTGTTAATAAAATAGATAAAGGACGTAGGTTTGAAAAAGAAGATGCTATTCAAGAAAATGATAGTTCTCTGTCGGCAGGGAAGTTAATCAATGACCATTACTCAAAACACAGAAAATCAGGAGCCAATGCTGAACATATTTCGAACACCTTACCCAAATCAAATAGAACAGAGTCAGGCTCTACGAATGGGTCGTCGCGCTCCTCTGATCCATCCCGCGTTGACACGAAGCTGTCGTCACGCTTTTCATCGCTGCCCCGTAATGACCGGGGGCTCGACTCTAAATTCCGCAGCCAAATGTCCCCGCAATCTTCGAGAAGAAATAAACAATCGCACTCTGAACTACTGCAGCCCCAGCGTCTGGACACCCTGAGACGGCACGACGTCACCGAACGCCGGCCCGTCTTGCAGGAGACGGCTATTCTCAAATGTGATGACGAAGGTCCCTCCGCCCCTAGAAACAAGTCCCCGTCCCCTGAAGTGTCCCACAAGAAGCGCAGCTCCTCTGCCCTGCCCATTGACAGGATCAAGTCTGTAGAAGTTGCTGATAACGAGTCAACGTCTGTGAGCTTAGAAAACCTGTCACTAGATGTAAGTACATGTGCAGTTGTGCGTCCCTAAGACCGCCTTATCCTGTTATCATGTGTAGGAAATGCGTTGATGTACAGGGAGATGTATATTAACGCGTGTTTTCCCGCTGGGAACTACTTCGCAGGAATACTCTTTCCAATACTCGTGACATTAATTTTATTGAATTGTTTGACGACTTATACGACGAACGCTCACTATGACCAATCACAGCTCTACCTTATTTTATTGTACCCTATTGAAATTAATGCTTGTTTGCACGAGCGCTGGATGCTCTCCATGGTTACACCTTATCGAGAACAGTTTTACATGTTGTGTGCTTTACAACGGTGGATCGGATTTTGTGATGACTTTTTCAATATCCGGATTGCAGGCGTTTAGTTGTTGCTGTGTTTATGGTTATTCTGTGCGTAGTAATAACGCCGAAAATCATGTCATGAACAAGTAATGCCAGCAATGCATAACGTATGTTATTCAACAGAGCTGCTCACGCATTGATGAAACTAAGCAATACTAATCACACGATATTCAACAGAGCTGCTCACGCATTGAAGAAGCTAAGCCACACTAATCACACAATATTCAACAGAGCTGCTCACGCATTGATGAAGCTAAGCATTACTAATCACACGATATTCAACAGAGCTGCTCACGCATTGATGAAGCTAAGCATTACTAATCACACGATATTCAACAGAGCTGCTCACGCATTGATGAAGACACTACTAATCCCACGATACTCAACAGAGTCAGGCTATGCGCATCGTGCGCACCATCGGCCAGGCGTTCGAGGTGTGCCACAAGTACAGCGCAGTCAAGGCCCCCTGCCCGCCCTCGCCCTCCTCCTCGCACTCCAACGACGACTCCGACGACTCGGCGCACAAGAGGAAAAACGGTACGTCATTTTCCTATTATTATTATTTTTGTTAAGTTTCGAGCATTAAATTTAGCATAACCGCGATAAATTAACTGTGAAATCGTCGATTTGAAAACGGAGATGCCACAATGAATCACTGGGTTACGATTACATGAAATATGAACTTAAATCGCTCAAATTATTCTTAATGCTGCGTTCATCGATCCAACTTCCTATTAGAACGTAAGTAAATGTATAAGTGATATTTAATAACCAAACATCCCTCCTGATATTGATGACAAGACCATCATGGTTAGAAGAAGATCTGTTGTGTATAACATGACACGTTTGTGTATATACACGTTTGTGTATAACATGACACGTTTGTGTATATACACGTTTGTGTATAACATGACACGTAACGTTTGTGTTGTAGACATGCAAGACCAGGAGAGCGGGCAAGTCACACTCACCCCTGACGACCCACGTGACAGCCTCGCCTCCGGCAAGCCTGGTGACTCTGACCTCCTCACGTCCTCGCCCTCTCAGCTTAAACCACAAGTCAGCGCCACCAAACTAGTTATTGTTAAATCAATTAATTAAAATAATTCAACTCAAAATACTGCTAAATATAATGGAAATTGGGTACTCATATGAACCCATATTTCTTAATAAATTTGCGTTACTTTTTTGTAGAAGATCAATGGCATTTGAACTGCTTTGGTTAGCTATGTTTAAAATATTTGCAATTTTCCATGAGATTTCAGGGTTGGTTTATTTTGGTGGTAAATAAAATTGGTATAATATACCTATTTCTTCAGTAAAATTATATTTTTCAACCCGAATCTTACAATGTAACTCTACCATTGACATTTTCATGTGTCCCTTCTGACTTAATATTTTCATGGTTGTTAGCTTCTATTAAGTTGCCGAGAAGGCAATCACAGTCGTTTATTAAATTGATGATAAGAAAACGTGGGATGATAAGCTTTAGGTTGGAGCCTCCACTGTTAACTCTGCGTGATGTGTGCAGACGAGCTCTGGCAATACTGGCACACCAGCAGGGGACCCCCTGAGGGGCGGCGCCCCCCTGGCGCTGCACCACGAGCTGCAGCTGGTGAGGGCGCAGCTGGAGCAGCAGCAGCAGCAGACGCAGGCAGCTGTAGCACAAGTACATCTGCTCAGAGACCAGCTCGCTGCTGAGACGTCAGCCAGACTTGAGGCTCAGGTTCGGGCAATCAATTATTCCTTAATTTCATAATCCTTTATCTTGCATAACCATTATTTACTTTTAGCAGTATATTATCCTAAATGTTATCCGCTATGCAATTTGAAATGATTCTAGGCATTACAGACCACGGTTTCTGTGTTGGTTTTTCTCAATGTTTTTCCTTCAATTTTTAAAGAAGACTGATGCACTGAACAATTTTCTAGGTTCCATTGATTTCTATCTGATTTGCTTCGATTTATAAAGCTATGAGGCAAATGAATCAGGTTTGAAGAAACCCAGGTTATTGAAGTCGAAGTCGACGGTTATTATGAATTATTCATGTGTCATGCGAATTATTCTTATGTTTATATAAAACAGACAATACATCATTGGATAATACACGATGTATATGAGTGAGAGAGGCGACCTGAATTGAGTTGCGGTATCTGAGACTCCTAGTGAATGACTGCCGGAGAGACATAGTATAGTGGACCAAACTACTATACTAGATCCCGTAAATAACTGAAGTAAATACGTAGATTTTAGACACCCTTTTTCAAAATACACGTATGCTCTCTAGATTTATTTTCATCGTGGTTTTCTATTTCAACTTCGCATATGTATACTTAACCGAGCTCTGTTTTGAGCCTCAGCTCGTTAATCCGATCACGATGTGAAAAGCGAATTAGCCTGGCAACTTATGGAGCCTCAACATTAGGAACGTGAGCGTATCTCCATTACATTCTACGTTTCAGTAAAATATATAAGTTAGTGTGTATCAAAAGACATTGAATTGTTTGGCCTAACTGCCATTTGATGGGTTTTGACCGCGTCGTCCCACTAATATTATGTAATTGGATCCAGCTTATCAAATCTTAGATTGGATTCCAAATCTGTGTGGCTTGCAGACGAGAACTCATCAACTTCTGGTGCACAACAAGGAGTTACTGGAGCACATCCAGGCTCTCGTGCTCCAGATCAGAGAATTGGAGATCACTTCTCCAGGAGTTACAGCCGCACCGCCTACCATCCCGCCCCCTCCAGACACCACCACACCTCCAACTCCATCCCTGCAGGTCGGTTCTAACACCCCTCCCTTAACGCCAAGTTTTAAATATCAGTGCCTGTTTTCAGTTGCCCTGTTATCGTATTTGTTTTGCTTGTTTTCATATTACAGGCCATAAGATTCTAGCGGCCACACTAACCAGTAAAATTTAGGGATATTCTGAATAACGGTTAATTTTAGTCACTAAAATGCTTGAAAGTTGAGAGAGCAAAAAAGGCGATGTTAGATCGGCAGCTTCATAAAAGCTGTTAAAACATTATAGAATTATGATTGTAATTAATAAAACAGCTTTTTCTGTTACGTTCTTTTCACTACAAATCACCTAAAGTATATATGAGTTGATTAAACGATACGCTTTTGTTACATAAATCATAAGGCGTCACTTTACAATAATCCCACTCATTATGTACTACTGTAATACATTTAAATCCACTGATGCAGGATATTCTAGATCCATTAAAGCTATTGATTCTAAACCGTATTAAGTTTGATACAATTCCTGCCAGTTTTGGAGTTTGTGTGTTTAATTAACTTATGTAGTCAACAATGTTTTGGTTTATATTTGCCATTTATTGTGGCCATGTATTTCCTGACCTAACGTGTGTATTATGCCTCTTCTGCCTTCTAATTCAGCCTGACTAACTCTCAGTTTTTTTCTGTTTCAGAACATGGATGACTTATAAATAAGTTTTTGTTCCTAGTAATACTGAGTGTTCCTGCCTTCTCTGAACCTTGAGCCTGTCACGGAGCTGCCGAGCTTCGCGCTGAATGTCTCGCAGCTTAACTGAACTTATCTCTCGTGTCGTATTTTTTATGAACTGCTATTAATTTATTTTAGGGCATTTTGAAACTAAGATGCCTAGTTTTGACTAGTATAATAATTAGGCTATATTGGTAACTCGGTATAACGAACTGACGTGGTCGATGGAGCCCCCCTCACGGAGCTGACGTGATGAGCTGCTGCTACAGTGGTCGGGCGTCCAGCCTGCGTGTGTCTCGCCTTGTTTGTGTACGTCCCTCATCATCACGTGCTCACAATAGCTTTCGTTTTCAATTTTTATTTTCAGTACTGCAGTTGATTTTACGCGTGTCATTAAAGCAGCCTGTACAATCATAGAAATGTTCGTATTGATTTGATGCATCTAGAGCCCATCGTCTCTGTTGCCTTAGCCTCAGCTTGATAAGTGAACAGAATTATGGTTGAAGACAGCTTAGTTCCGTGCTTAGTAGTGTGGTGTTTTACTCAGCAATTTATCCAGTCAGTAAGATTATTTTGCAACAGATTGAATATAAGAATATTATGTTGCTACCACGATTTATTCACATTTTACTCTTCCTTATATTTTGTAAGGCTTTTATGGATCCTCATATATTTATGAATTTGCATCCAGTTTATTTCATCTCCATCGTTTTCGATAATTCTTACCTCAGCTCAGAATATTGCATTGTTTGCTGATAGATTAGTGTAGCTTTTGCTCATAATCAAAACATAACAATTTCCTTGTATTGATTACATTTTCGTCATCGCTGTGAGTTAGATGGCTGTAATCTCTGTTTTAATAAAAGCCATGCAATGACTTGAATGACTTATCTTAGATTCAGACTAGTTTTTGATTTCTACATAAATGAGACCTTCTTGACGATCAATAAAATAATATAATTTTAAGACACTTTAATTATTAAAAATGAAGAAAGCGGAAGCAAATTAAGTTGTTAATGTCGTCTTATTTCCATTGATAACAATTGTGTTTTCACAGAATTCGCCGAGACTCCATCACCAACTCCAGCAGCAGCTACATCAGTATCAGCTACAACAACAGCTTCAGCATCACCAGCTACAACAGCATCAAATCGAGCAGCAGCTGCAGCAAAGCCAGCAGCAGCAGCAGCTGGAGCAGCTGCAGCACAGAAGCAGCAACAGCAGCAGTGAGCAGTCATCCCGTGAGAGCGTGACGGCTTGCATAGCGACCCTCTTCCCAGCAGGCGACACGCACTCGCCGTCACACAAGCAACATTCCTCGTCCGTCTTCTTCCCTGGCGATGCGCAGGCCTACCACCGCCTGCCGCTCGTGCCCGAGAACTCGGCTCTTCCTTCTCTCATTCCGCCGTCCTGCTTCAACCTAGGCCCCACTGGCATGCCCAGCTTTGGACCTGCTGGCATGAATACATTGGGCGCTACCGGGATGCCTACTTTTAGTTCTTCACTGAGCAGCTCCGTGCCTCCTCTGGGTCTCGGGTCCATCAACCCTGGGCCCATAACTCGGGCCGCGTCAGAGAGAATGCCGCGCCAGAATACACTCGCCCAACTGCAACGGATGTCGTGGGGCCGACACACCACTAAGTGATCAGCAGCAATAGCTGACCTCCACCTGCTACTGAGTCTGCTGTTATACTCATGCAATTCCCACAGATTATAAGTCTGAATATTATGTGCACCAGTTATGATATCCCTGGCAAATTGCATTTTTGGACAATAATTGACTTGAAATTTTCTTCATGAGTAGCCAATGAAATTCCCATAGCATGATTCATTTCTTATGACAAATCCTTCTTCAGTCCCTGCTATGTCTGGCTGTGATGTCTGCTACTCCTGTGATGTCGCTGCAAGCTACAAATTAGCGATGACTATCATTTTCCTTTGATGCTAGAAATCATTTGTCCAGCAAAAATTTGACGAAAATACTCTTTGATGTTATAACTATCCCCTCCCTTGAAGCATCCCTGTATATGTATTTTTGACGAGCTAAAGTGTTTCAAATGATCAGTATTGATAGCACGAGCTTCTGTGGACAATATGTGTGGTCGTTCACTTGTGTAAGGCAAGATACTTTAGCTGGATAGAGTTAGCTCCTATAGATCCGTCCAATGGCGTGCTCTCTCTCTGCTCATTAATTTTGTTTGTGTTTGTCCATTCGTCTTGACTTGGTTGTGAGCTTGACTTATGGTTAGTCGTGTCCCTTCATTATAAGCTGCGTATACACTGAGCTTCTCACGCTTGCTTGGTTCAGTAGCCGTCCAATATTTTCGTAGTACTCAGTATAGAAGAAACAAATATATGCTGCTTGCTCCTGCTTTGTATTATCGCTCAGGCTTTACCTACTATCAAATAAAGATTAGGTTACAAGCGTCTCTATATTTTGCATAATATCAGAGAAGTCAAGTCATAGAATATATTTCATGTCTGTGTTAGGTTGCCATAGTCGGTGTTTGTCATGGAGTTAGCGTTGAGAAAAGTAAGATGTGTTTTGTGTTCATTAATTTTTTGTTTGTCCTGGGTTTGTGTTTGTGCAATTTAACTTGATTTACTTCTGTGAAGATAACTGTTAATGTCGCAAACGTGGCTGTACTTTGCCATATAACTGTTGATCAGATGACATGGCTTCATAAGAACTGCTGTGTACGTTGGTACATAGACCTGTTCTTGATATGACTGCTGATCTTCTTATTTCGATGTTATGTTCTGGTTATGTGTTGTCGTACTCAGTGCCTCCGTGTCCAGAGGGTCGCGTGGTAGCAAACGTCATTACGGGTCCGCTGGCACTTAGCGGTTGTCTGTGCTTCTTCCTCCCCTGAGAGGAGACAAGCTCCAGCTCTGAACTGCCGAGCTCCGGCGTGACTCCTGTCGCATTTCCCTTCATTTTAATCCTTCGTATGCATTTTTTCTATTTCACCTCGTTTTAAATCGAAAGCCCGGGAAATACTAACGATCTCAATAATTTATTCATTTGCTTACTTCTCCTTTGCAATATGATAACTTGATCTGATAAACCTCTTTACAAGAAAATTCATCGGATTATTAATTTTCTGCGGATCAATTGACATTGAATCGTCTCAGGCTGCCATGTTCGTTTCTTATCCTCAGCAAATTTCATAACCCATCTGGAACTTGCTGGAAAATTTTTTTTTATCCAATCAGACAATTTTCCCCAGCGATACATACATGGCGCATAATACTTACGTGTCTATTTATCTCTCATTGTGATCTTTTAACCATCAATGAAAAGTTAATCTCTTTAGATAATCAACCGTCATGTGTGACCACTTCGTCTGTTTTTAAGTTGATAAGGCAGCGAATATTTTATTTGTACTGTGTTACACGTGTCAGTTACGTTGTCTACTGTGTTACACGTGTCAGCCACGTGTTGCGTTGTCTACTGTGTTGCACGTGTCAGCCACGTGTTGCGTTGTCTACTGTGATGCACGTGTCACACGCAAGTAAATGTTCTTCACTTATGTTTCGCACCTGTCAGCCTTGTGTTGCACGTGTAATAAGAGCCATGTCTACACCTATCAACCATGTGTTGCGCCTGTCACAATGCACGATACGAGCACCGCGCATTGCAGGTCGCATGTATTATAGTGTCCATATTACCTTCAGCCTCCTCACCACGTCCAGCTTTAGGCCTGCGTTTGTATATATTATTTGACATCATCCATGCAAGGCCCTTGGATGTCCCCCACTATGATCCCTCAATACTGAGCAACGCAGCCCCTCATCCATCATGTCCGTTCATATGAGAGACACAATTGCTTTTTACTATATATTATTGTGTAAGTGACTTGTGGTCTTGATGCCTGAAAGTGATGGTTGGTCGATTGTTGTGACGTCCATAGCTTATAAAATGACAGTTTATAAGTTCCCATCCTATTTTCAATGCCCGTAAATATAAGAGACAATTTAGATCTGCGTTCATTATCCTTTCGAAAAGAATGAATGATTGGTTTGCTTTAGCTAAACCCTATTTCGCTATCTACGATCCTCTGGCCACAGCTGAAGAATGTCATCCTGGCATAAGGTGCCATTGCGGGTAAAAATCCTGAACTTCTAGTTTATACTAACATTAATTGAGAACAGCCATTGGATATTTTTCATAATGTGGTATCATCTTGAAGCCTTTGAAAGTAAACAATAAGTAAATATTTGCCATTTAAATTACATGACTGCAGTTTCCGGTCCAATCACATCACATCTACATCGATGAGCAGTAGAATGTCATTACCTCCAGACCCCCTCATAACCCTCCGGCACCGTATCATCCTAATATAGAGCGATTTAATTGGATTGCAATCAAATTTCAATAAAATGGCGATAAGTTTCGACACTTCTGCATGAAGCCATGGGGTGTGTTGGCCGTTGATATTTTAATCACGAAGCACGATGGTCTCTTGGGTGTAAGTGAAAGCGAATTATATCTACAATCTAGTGTATACAATATTATTCATTTAGGTTGCTTTACACTCTAATAAATTGGAAATACTAGAATAATGTTTCAATGCATTGCTTAAAAGAAGTTCGTTTACAGCTCACAACATGTCTAGGTAAGAGGCATTTGGCAATCGCTCTTTAGTAAGTGGCGGTATTTGAATCATTATTAAATAGACTTGTGCATGAACTCATGATTTTTATTTTTTTTCAAAGAAAGTCATAAAAATCATAAAAACCGATGAGGAAATGGGTGGCAGTCTTGCCCATAGACTAGACAAGACACAAGAGGTTGCACTGCATTTTTCTGGCAGCCTTCCCAGGAGTCGGTGGCCGTTCAGAATATTTTGTAGGTCACAAAATTTCGTACTGGCAAATCTAAATGCCAATTTGAGTGCATTAAAACATAAAGCTCCAGTAAACTAGTTAAAAAAACACACATGTGCGACGCAAGTTATGGGTAAAAAAGTAATAAATACAATTTATTAGAGGAAAAAGAAGAAACCTAAACAAAGGTGAGATTAGTAAGGAAAACTCGACCACCACTAACTACCAATACCGTAATTAACTGCATATTTTTAACTTTTAGGTTTTTTATGTAATAAGAACTAATGAAATAAAAAATCGGGTGCAAACAGTCATCCATCTTGACCATGCTAACCTTAACTGACGAGGAAGCAAGCTTATTTTCGGTGCTACGTCATCGATACTCCGGGAAACAAAAAAAAAATGTTGCAGAGTGCCAGTATGAGCACTTATATAAATGAAATTGGCAAACTGAACGTTTTTGCATCCAAGGCCTCTTAGGAATAACGTCGGTCTAATGCTCTGCCTGACGTCAGCTGGGCCTGAGGAGCGGACAGGTACGACGCAACGTCGAAATCATGGTTGAACTATATAAGGTTGACCCACGAGAAGTTCCATCTTTCAGTTCAGCTTTCTTGTTACGTCACGTAGATCGAGAAACGTAAACATACCCGTCATTCTCATAACGGATTGGTTGACTGGTTTGATCGCATTTCGGTGATTGGTTAATGCCCGTGACGTCACAGAGATCAGTGACGTCACAGGTCAAACTACATCGGCGAAAATGAGCTTCTCATGGGTCAACCTAATACTAGTTCAGCCATGGTCGCAACGTCTCGCAAGTCGTCTGCTTCCTCTTTTCTTCTTCTCGTGATGTCCACGCTGGGTGGATATAAAGCCACAGCACAACCGCAAGGATGACCGTTGGGTCTGAGAGCTTGTGTAGTTTTGGACCTCTTCGCATGGAAGTCAGACCACTTTATTCTTGCTTATAAAAGGTCAGTGAACGTGATATCTGAGCATGACAGCGTGTAAGAGAAAATTTACATGACATGAGAAAATATCACAAAGTAAGGGCCGTTGCTCATTAGGACTCAGCACAACATTTGACCACTAAATTAGTTGGACTAGTATAAGTAAGATAACTTAGATCACACATGCATGTACACACATATAGGTACATATATATACACACATATATACATAGGGTAACATGGGGCAAAGGGACCACTGCGGGTCATGGGTCAATAGCGGGTTTCCCGCTAAGTATGGCAGATATTGGTCCGTGCGCTCTACCGCCGGTCGACAGTTTCACTGGGATGAAGTGTATGGCCCTACGTTTTGCTAAGAGTTTGCGTTGATAAGTTCCTGGCAAATAACTGTTTTAGCCCAGACAAAAGTTTTTGCTGATAAATAAAACTGTTTTCGATTACCGTATGTGAAGCTTTTGAAATTGCTGTGAATAATATTTTGAAAGTATTATTTGTGAGGATAATTTTGAGTTTAAGTTTAGACTATTCGCTTATAAACTTGAATGTTGACACAATATAAATTGAAATGAAACCTAGTGAGGCAACGGGCCCATGCGTGTCACGGAGCTCAGCGCCCATGGTGGGCTCAATACCTCTCTGTGAAGTCTTGTGTTATTCATCATTAAATTTGTCTCAACGAGCTTTTCAAAACTATGACTAGCTTTTTAAATTACAATTTACACTTCATATTGTATGATTTATGATTATTTTTTAATTGCCGCCACAAGGCAGCAGGTTCAAATTTCTAGTTATGCGTATTTGTGACCCAGTATCGAGTTATTGACTCATGCCTTGCCAAAAGTTGATTTCAGCCTACACAAATGAGCCAAAAGTTGACGAGTTTTTATGGTGTTGGCTGAAATAACGAACAATTATGAATTTCCTGCACATAATACCTGGAATATAGACGAAACTGAAAACGAAGTTTTTTCTGATCAAGTAAATATATTCTTTCTAGTCAAGGATGAGTTTTTTATAGCAAGGATATATTTTTTAAGTCAAGGATATAATTTTTTTGTTAAAGTTAATTGTTGTTAATAAATGAAGGAAGGTAAAAGTTTTTCACTATATTTTTCTTATTTTAAACTTTCTTGTTTGAACTTAAACAAAAAATATGCAATTGGGGTGAAGAAACCAGGGGTGGGCACCTTGCCCCCAAGCCCATGGGCCCATTTTGACTTTTTACAAAATAGTATTTCATCAAAAATTGAATGACTCTATAGGCGTCTAATTCACATTATACTTTTTTCCCCTCATAAGTTGTAACTTTAAACAAACAAAGAACTACCTCGTATCAATTAAAACTTCATCAAAAATTTAGTTTAAAAAAAGGGGGGCCCGCTGCCCAATGTTACCCAACATAAATATAAGCTGCATTTCCTTTTTGGCACAACTATCGAAAGTTCATTCAGCCTACCTGACTTCAAAATATATACAGTCAAAAGTCGAAAGATTGACATTTGAACGTCATCATTGTTGTTACCTCCCCCTTCCCCAAAAAAGATCACAGAGAAAATTGTACATTTATGCATCTAAAATTATAGTTTCCACCGCTTTTCTGGGCTGCGCTTGCGCATGACGCTGACAATGCAGCAGGTAATGCGCAATAGTATTCACAGTGTTGCACTTAGCTCATTGATCAGAGTCGCTCATGTTCACATTGATCAGAGTCGCCTTATCAGTGCCATCAAAGTTTCACGACTGCTGCAGTTCGGAAAGCCAGGTAGCCTTCGACCAACCTTGGCATCAGTGAGTGAGTGCTGCTTGACTAGAGTGGTAATTGAAGTCTCTTTCCGTCGAGTATTGCGACTGCAAGTCTAGTGTGCCAAGCGTAATACAGCTATACGCCGTGCGAACATTTAGTTGAACATTTGATTCAGGAATCAACATACAGCTTCGTTCAGAAAGATCTGTAAAATTCGATCAGCAAACATACATGTGAGCCTCAGTACAAGTTTATTTGCGTAAACTTACCTTAGTTAATTAATAGGTTTAATTTTAGTTTGCCTTATGATAAAAGAGCCACAATTGGAAATTAAAATCAAATTTGAAAATACTTTTTTTAAATGTCAAGTGAAAATTTACTAGAGCTCACTAGGCAATTTTCAAGTTAAGGTGGCTGTTAGTTGCAGCAATCGAAAGAAGTTTCCAAAGCGAGTTCACGTTCGTCTCGAATAATTTGTTATTTCTTCACAGACGTATAATACTGATTTTCACTCAGAGAGACACGAGCTAAAAGTTATCTTTTGAAGAATTAAAATTTGTAAGAACATTGTCTGTGTTTCGCAGGATGAATGTGCCAGGACTAGTGGGCATCGTGGTGTTCTACGTGCTCATTTTAGGCATCGGGGCCATGGCGGCGTACCGGCGACGCTTCAAAGGGAACAGCTCTGAAGAAGTGATGCTGGCAGGGCGCTCCATAGGACCTGTCGTGGGCATACTCACCATGACGGGTGAGACGGCGTGTGTTGACTAACATGAGTTGGATCATGACGGGTGAGACGGCGTGTGTTGACAAACATGAGTTTGACCATGACGGGTTGGACGACGTGTGTTGACAAACATGAGTTGCACCATGACGGGTGAGACGACGTGTGTTGACAAACATGAGTTGGATCATGACGGGTGAGACGGCGTGTGTTGACAAACATGAGTTGGACCATGCCGGGTGAGAAGGCGTGTGCTGACAAACATGAGTTGGACCATGACGGGTGAGAAGGCGTGTGCTGACAAACATGAGTTAGACCATGACGGGTGAGACGGCGTGTGTTGACAAACATGAGTTGGACCATGACGGGTGAGAAGGCGTGTGTTGACAAACATGAGTGGGACCATGACGGGTGAGAAGGCGTGTGCTGACAAACATGAGTTGGGTCATGACCACTGAGATCGCCATGAAAACATTTCTCTGACAGCAAGTGCGGAGCGTGTATAAATAGACTCCTCTGTCATGAGCTCCCGATCACTTGCTGGTCTAATCCCATCTTCATACCAGAGAACTCATTATCCTTGACTGACGTCACACGTCTCTATAAAAAAAGAAAGAGAGTCATAAAAATGTCTGAAATATTTTCAAATTTAACTGCAAAATAATTAAGTTTAATCACCTTTAAATACAAACAGATCATTGAACATTGAAAGAAGCAGATTCTCTGCACGAGGATCAATATTCCCGCAAAGTTAATTTGATATAATCATTTCCCAATAACCGTAAAATAGTTGCTCTGGAATTACATATTCTGTATAAACAAAAATTCAAACGTATAGTTTCAAACTCAAAGTCCGCTGATCAATTCCGAGAAAACAAAAATGTACTCGACGGAACTAATTTCTGGCGGGAATTAATTTGTTGTCTGTGCCAAGTTTCCGACATCCGGTGCTCCCTTGCACAACAGCACATAAGCCAAGCATTTATGCATAAATATAGCTCAACAAATGCTCAAATTTATTTTATATTTGAGTTATATGGATTTATAAAATATACATAATTTTCATGAATAAATACGCATCGCAATGAACGCTTAACTTCAAATCACGGCAATAAAATTTACAATTTTTTCAAGTCAGTCAAATTTAAATTATTCTTCTAAGATAATATTGTTTTTCTCTTTTGAATAGGTTCAACAACCTCGTTTGATATTTAGTGCGCAATAGCCTTATATTTTATCGTAAACCGGTAATTAGTGTGAAGCAGAATAAATAGGTACCATTATTGCACAATCTCTTGTGTTAAAACAACCTTGTAAAATTCTTAAATTTCGGATTGGAAGACTCACTCAACATTAACATATATATGCTACTCGGCTACATTCACTCGGCACAAAATAACGATTACGGATATACGAGCATATATATGTATTTTTTAGGGGTATCATATTTACGAAGAGGGAAAGTTGCGACTGAAACTCAGTGTCCATTAGATCACATGAGTGGGTGTCACTATCCATCATCTGGCACGTGGCGTGCTGTGCGCTGCCAAATGCGCAATACATGCAGTTCGCCACAGCCGGGAGGAATAAGGGAGTCAACTTTCAAATCGTAAATTTCAAGCGTGAAAGTATAAATATTGGTCGAGAATAATTTGCGCGAAACTATACGCAAATCCAATTCGATTATGTGTTATTTTAATCCATGCAATTTCGAGGGTAAATCAGAGACTTGAACGCACAAACACGTTGAAACTCAAACTTTCTTTATCCAGCAAATCATTAAGATAATGGAAAAAGGATTTAATCTGCAGTAGTATACGTAAAGTTGAATACATCTGTGGTTGCATGCTTATATTGACCTCGGCTTCCATTTTATTTTGAGCAGTTTTGCCCGTTTTAGCGCATTTTCTCATTAATGAAAAAATATATAACTCGGTAATTACTGCAGTGAGTGATAGGGAATGTATTTTCTCGTCGACGAAAACGTGAAGTCACGGACAGACAGACGGACGGACAGGCGGACATGGTTAGCACAATATTTATAGTGCATTTTTTTCATAAATGAGATTATGTGCTCGCTATTGCGCTCGCCATGTCCGTCTGTCCATCCGTCTGTCTGTCCGTCTGTGACTTCACATTTTCGTCGACGAGAAAATGCGCTCTCTGTCACTCACTGCAGTGAGTTCTGAGTTACATTTTTTTTCAATTTGCGGTGATAAAACTTTGCTTCGCTTCTAATGAAGGAACCAAATCATGCCATCTTCGGTATTTTTTTAGTAATTATCTACATTGCGATGAATATTTTAATTTCAGTTATTTTTGCCCTTTTTACTGTCAGCGACGTGGGTTGGAGGTGGATACATCAACGGGTCGGCCGAAAAAGTATTTGATGTTGGGCTGATTTGGTGCCAGGCGCCCTTCGGCTACGCCATCTCGCTGAGCATCGGTCAGTGCCAAACTCGTTGTGCGCATTTAACAGATAATTAACAGTTAATTGAGACCAAACAGTCTATAGCTGATTATAAATAAATTATATAAGAAAATGGGTTATAGTTAGAAACCATAAACAGCTCAATGAATATCACCTACCATAATATTTCTTTATACTTCAGTAAATTCAAATTGAGCTAAAAATTAACAGGATTCTAAATTATTAACATGAAAATCCAAAACAGAAAAAAATAATAATTTTTAAATAAAATAATTCCGAACTTATCCGGTTACATGCGAACACATTTTTTCTCAATAAATATAAAACAAAGAGAAGTGCATTGACATTTATTTTTTACAAAAAAGTTAACCTGAGCAACAAATTGCAGTGAAGAATGAAGAATATAAGAGTTGGACGACCAGAACTGAATGCGGAAGCCGTGCGCTTCCTGCGCACAAATAAACATTGCGATCTGTTTCCTCGGCCCATGCCATACGCACAACATTCTCGGCTTAACTTCACTCGCCGTACCAATGGCTGCGTGCCTTGCATCCACATTACACAAGCCATTAAACCACTCGTGTATTTCTTCAGTAAGGCTGACGCAAGCCAAGCAGCTACAATGCGGTATTTAGTGGGAGGGACATGTGAACGTCGCGTATCTTGGATACCAGCCAAACCTCTGCCGCAGCCCATAAATACGGTGGCATGACCTGAAGAAAGTCATTACATTTACTTAACCAGTTATATGTCCACTCTGTCGCAGCAATTGAAAACGACAATCATGTATCGGAATATATATGCTGGAAATGATTCCATCGTCTATCGTCATGTAGTTTTAATTAACTGCAATTTACATAAAAGCCGAATCTGTGTGCACGGAAGAAAAAAGTATGAGTTATAATATTAAATATCTCTTAACATAACATAACATAGTGATGTCGGCGCTGAAGCGTAGGCCTGATGTGGCCTGTCGCCGATTCTTTTCCTTTTCGTGCCTTATTCACAGAAGATCTAAAATCGTGTCATTTGACCGGATCTTTTCATGACTGACGATAGTTTAAAGTAGCTACTAGACTTCCACCGGGTTCGAAATGGTGCTAGGCATTTCAAATCTAAACATCTATTTTTCAATAGCTTTATCTAGTCTGTTCTTGAACGCGTTCACACCTGGAGCGCCAACGATGTCATCGGGGAGGCTGTTCCACATGTCGGTCACTCTCACCATCTCATAAACACACACAAGAATGGTTTTCCAATTTGTTTTCTTGCCTTCTGCGTAAGATTCCTCGATCAAACTAACGGTAACCTGCAATTAAGATAATGATATGAGTATGGCCAAATCTAAATCCAACCGTTACATGTTCTGTGCTATTAAGGACACTTTTTTTGCGAAAAGACTCGTAGATTTACTCTCGAAGAAAACTTTTAAATCTAAACCAATTTTGTAACATGCAGGCGGGCTGTTTTTCGCGCGGCAGATGCGAGAAGCTGGCTACGTCACGATGCTCGACCCCCTGCAGAATAAGTTAGGCCAGCGCATGGGGGGCCTGCTCTACTTCCCTGCTCTCATGGGCGAGTTGTTCTGGTCGGCCGCCATCTTGTCTGCCCTGGGTAAGTTTAGAGTATGCATTTCTATTTATTCATGTTATAATTTGTAAAATCTAAAGCCATCTTATTTGAGATACTCAAGACAGAGTAGAGATGAAATAATACAGATGTTTTCACTGCCAGCAATCTTTCCTGTTATTGCCAGTCATGACAGGAGCAAAATGTTTCACCATCATACCATCATGACCATAGTAGGCCTTCATCTCATTCAAGAAACTATTCACTATTCAGTGACTATTTACGAGCATATTGATTTTTAAAACACTTTCAGCGTAGTTGCCAAAACTACGTAAATATTGTATCAATCTTTTTTAATCGCGTGTATTCACGGCACAACGCAGGGTCCACTTTGGCTGTAATTCTGGACATCGGCAACACGACGTCCATCTTGGTGAGCGCAGCGATCGCCGTCACGTACACGCTACTCGGAGGCCTGTACTCCGTAGCGTACACTGACGTGGTGCAGCTCTTCTGCATCTTCGCTGGACTGGTGAGGCGGCAAAGGAGGCAGTGTGTCACTTCTTGGAAGAAGTTGCTCATTGCATCTTATGAAATTATTTGTGCCCATAACTAATTGCAGCTGCTTGAAGCATCAACCAACAAAAAAGCATGTTGAGTATTTCCTGTTTAATTTCATCCCAATAAATTTCATGACTTAGGTGACTTCCATACAATATTACCATGAACTAAAATTTACGATTTTCTTTCGGATTCACTATAGCATTGCAGAGCAGGAAGAAATTAAAAGTTTTATTGCTATTCATGAAGTGTAGCCTGAATTTGCTATCCAAATATCTCTCCATACTTCCACGTGAAGTGGATTTGAATTGATTATAAAATTAAGTTTGAATAAGATAACTTTCTTTATTAGAACGAAGTAGCTCGACGGTAATAAATGCTGTTCATCGACGGGCTCACCTGATAATATGTGACAAGTAAAAATTTTCGGCCCTGCTGTAATTATAACTAACGTGGATCATTGGTCACGGCAGTGGCTGTGTGTGCCGTTTGCTCTGCAGCACGATGCTGTGGGCTCCCTGGCCCTCTCTGAGACTAACTGGATGGGTCACATTCCGGCGAACTCACCAGCCTGGGGTCTGTGGGTCGACTACTGGCTGCTCCTCATCTGTGGAGGCATCCCATGGCAGGTGCGAGAGGTTGTGCCTATATATGTTAATTTTCAGGAACCAACACTTCAGTGGTCGATATGCTGATTACTGCATTGGGATGCAATCAAAGGTAGCAACATAATAACTAGATTTGTAAGCAGAAATAGTGTGTCCTATAAAAAAATGAGCCAAAATGTTTTTGGCTCTATCGGACGACACTTTATGTGTTAAGGTTTATATAATGTTAAATTTTACATACAGCTCTTTGATTTATCATTCATAATATGTCATTGGTCCACACAGGTATACTTCCAGCGCGTGCTGTCGTCCAGGAGCCCGCGCAGTGCGCAGCTGCTATCCTACAGCGCCTCCCTCGGCTGTATCCTAAGTGCCGTTCCCGCCTGCCTCATTGGAGCTATCGCTAAGGCAACTGGTGCGCCATTCTACTACGGTATCCCCTTAATTTGAGGGTTTAAAATTGCCACAAGAAGCCATGTAGCTAGAAGTTTCTTTATGGCCATTAATAACCACGGTATTCTGAGAGGGCAAGACTGCAGGTTGAAAGTATATTGCCAGCAATCTACTGCAGCAGAGACAATTTGAAGTTTAGAAACGTGATGTTATTTTTCTTGAATCATTTGGGTTTAGTTACATATAGCATCGTATGAATTTATCTGATTTCATCTTACATGGTCTTAGTATTTGATATTATTTAAAACCGAATTTGAAAGTATACGAAGACCTTATCTAACTGTAAGATATGGTGAGATTTACAATATTTTGCAAAGTTGCTCTCAATAATTAGCGAAATATTGTTCCATTTTTATTCAAATGAATCGCTGCTCACATGAAGTAAAGAAAGCGGTCACTCACCCTCGAAAGGGTTGGAAATCCAAGTTAAGTAAGAATTATTAGAATTAACAAAATGAACGATGCAGATTGGACGAAGACGGACTATGGCCACACGCCTGAAGGCTATGAGAAGAAGCTAGTGCTGCCGTTGGTCATGCAGTACCTCACACCCACCGTAAGTAGTTCCAGAATAATAAACTTTTTCCAATAGCAGTTGCTAAATTTCTTTCTCTATCGCATTTAACGGTTGATTTTTAGTGTTTAATTATTTGATACGATTATGTGGCAATTCCAAAGGTCTAATTAAATTCCTTCTGCCTCACTCACACATTGCGAGCGAATAAGTACCCACATCAGCCTCTATACTCTCCAACCTTCATCATACGTCGCTAGAAAGATTCATCTCCAACTCCAACTCCTCCAAAACTTACACACTCATATCACATTCAAATCACTGCCATTATCAACGCTTCTCAAATTCTGATGGTGAATCGCCCTTGCAAGATCTACCCCCATAAAATTGGTTTAATCAAGTACGTTCGTGCTGCACAGAGACACGCATTTAAAATCACTTGATTCATTATGGATCATTCAAACTTCTCATTCACAGGAACGCTTATACATGATCCATATAACAGGCAAAACTATATGAATATGAATATCGGGGTAATTCAGCTCTATACTGAACATAGTATCCCTCAAGTAACCTGTGCTTCACACACTCACGGAAGTTTTTTATATTAACAATATCAGTACACCTTTAGCCCATTACAACACGATTATTACATCTCATATGCTAATGATTTTTCACCGACTTCAGGCTAACGCGCACATCATGCATCTTGCAGTGCTAGTAACGTAACACGTCATTTTATGATATACTCATCCTAACTGAATGGTGGATAAAAATAAACACATCCAAATTTAAAATCCTCATTTGTGTAGCAAAAGCATCCGACATTATTTTTGACAACTAACTCTTCTCAAACACGAACGTACAGTTTCAATTTCTCTCATGACATTACGCGGATCCAGGGCACAATTTATTTTAAAAATGTCTTATTCAACATGCAATCTAGATTATATAATGTATGTGACTTTTGAACGGTTCTCAATCATCTACCTAACCGTGACGGTCAAACCATACCTTATTTATTTAGCTATTCCGATCACATTACCGATAGCCTAATTTTAGAAAGTGCATAATATAGTAATTAGATTTACCACTAACGCCCGCTGTTCCGGCTTTATCACTTCCATGCAAACCTCGTATAAAAAATCAATGTAAATATAAAAAAGTGAATAGCTCCTAGTTTCGCCTTCATCATCTATTCAATTTTCTCACCTTTCCTGGGTACGTCACCATTAACACTTCTTCCTCTCACCCACATTTGATAGAGGCAACGAATAGCCACTTAACGGATGATATGAAGTTTCGAGGGTATAAAATTGAATTTATGAATGCATCTGCAATTAGGATTCCTAAATAAGTAAATTATTATACGAAGTTTACGACATGTAAACAATTTAAGTGACCGTATTTCATTTCTGTTGCCAGTGGGTATCTTTTATGGGCCTGGGAGCGGTCTCAGCCGCCGTGATGTCGTCAGCAGACTCCTCCGTACTGTCCGCGGCGTCCATGTTTGCTCGCAACATTTATAAGATGGTCTTCAAGCAAAAAGTACGTATAGTACTCAGTAGTTCGCATATTGGTCGCATCTTTAAAATATGGGTCAGATGATTAAAAAAATTCAGGCTCAGGCTTGAACCTGTTCAACGATATTCCTGAACAACGAATAATATGCCATTTTAAGCAACGTGCTTCTATTTGTGACATACAATTTGTAATATTATTGTGGACTTTGAACTCAGGCTAGCGATAGAGAAGTGGTTTGGGTGATGCGAGGTGCCATTGTCGTCGCGGCGGCTGTGGCATCAGGCATCGGCATCGCAGTAAATAGCATCTATTACCTCTTGTGAGTCGCACTTAATAGCTATATAAGAATATAATGAATGACAAACTCTTTTGAGTTCAAGGGCGATCCTAACTCGGTTTCAGGCTCGGTTTGTTTCCGTTCATCTCTGAGAGATTCATTGTTAAGTAAAATTTTTTATTTAATTATTTTTTTTGCGAGAAATTAAACACGAGTGAAGATTTTTCCACCGTTTGCTCATAACACCCTAATATTCATACGCACATATCAACAGACGTTGCCACTAAAATGAGAAAAAATTAAAATATATAACGTTTCTGCCAAAGAATACATCTGAATAGGATTAATCTCTCTTTAAATCTAACACGACATTAAATGATAAGTTTTCACAAGCCTATCGCTACTAATTGATTTTTCGATTGCTTTTTGCTTTTTATTTCGTCGCATAGCTGATGGGAATGGATTTTCATACCCATATTTCAGGCGAATTGTAGATAAATTAGCTAGCATTTCGTGGAATACAAAATCAAAACATCCAAATAGAGTAGGAATAACCATAGTTAATACTATCTCACTTAACTTAACTCTTAACTAAAGTGCACAAAAAGTTTTAAAATGTTTTTACACGAACTCGGATTCCGTTTTGAACAAAAAAAGTGAACTGTTAACTGTGATCGCAAACGAGAGTATAGACATTATTTGTATTACAGAAACACTTCCTAAAAATCACGGGGGGAAAATTGTAC